TCTTTTTCTTTCTTTGAATCAACTCACTGCCACTGGGCTATTGATTTACACATTTCACTTTCCTTGCATTTCATAAATTTTTTTTAAGGCAATTGGGTTTAAGTGACTTGCCCAGGGTCACACAGCTAGTACGTGTCAAGTGTTTGGTCTGAGGCCAGATCTGAACTCAGGTCCTCCTGACTTCAGGGCCAGTGCTCTATCCATTGCGCCACCTAGCTGACCCCACATTTCATAAATTTTTATCAACAAAATGGGTCATTTGCCTTGTATCCTGTTCCTTCAATCCACACTGATCTCAGTCTTTTCTGCCCACTTACATTGTGTGTTACCTAATTTATCCTTGAGTTGTAGACCATGTTCTGCTTTTCTACAATTTCATGCTTACCACTTTTGGCTGCTCAACTAGACTGAGCTCCTTGAGGGCAGAGACTCTCTCAAAATTTGTTGTTGATTGAAAAGTGTATATTCCAAACGTCTGATTGAATTGATTCATCTATTGTTTTTACATGTTTCCTCTGTTGGCCTCATTGTGCTGGATTATTTCTTTGGGTCCTCTGAACCACGTTTAGGGGCAATCTTTATCCCTAGGGAAGAATACAGGCATTGCTGTCATACTTTGTATTTAGGTAAAAGTTGGACTCAATTCTCATTCGTAAGTTTCTTGCCTGGATCCTTATCAATCCGAGTAGTTCTTCCCCCCTGCCTTGTCCTGGCCTACACATCCTTTCTGTATTTTTCATTTCTTTTGGTGCCAAATTATTCAATGGATTTCTTTTGAAATGATAATAACAACCAACATTTACTAAGTACTTCAGAGCTTACAAAGTGGTTTATCTGGATGCTTTATTGGATCTCACAATGATGCAATTTGGTAGGTTTTATTATGGTTTATATTTTACAGAAATTGAGAGAAATTAAGTGACTTCTCCAGAGTCACACAGCTGTTGATTGTCAGAGCCCCTGGACTTGGAGTCAGAAAGACCTAAATTTGAATTCAATTTCACATATTGACTAACTGCTCTGTGACCTTGGGTAAGCCCCTTCAACTCTCAGCCTCAGTTTCCTCATCTCTAAAATGGAGATGGTAATAGCACCTACCTCTTATGGTTGTTGTGATGTTCAAATGAGTTAATGTGGGGAAATCCTTTTATAAACATTAAGGTATTACATAAATGTTATTTTATTATTTTATTTGTAAAGTAGTTTGTGAAGCTAAAAGCGATAGATATATACATATATGTACACATATACATATACATATATATGTGTGTATGTGTGTATATATATATATATATATATATATATATATATACTAGTTATTGTTGGTGATGGTGGTGTTGGTGCTGTTAACTCAATAATCTCAGGAGAAACAAGATGTCAGGGGATCCAAAGGGCCTTGGAGAGATGCCCAGTAGGCATAAATAATAATAACCTCACATTTAGGTAGCTTTTTATGGTTAGCCAAATGCTTTCTTCATGACTACCCTGAAAATATTATTATTCCCATTTTTTACGGATGAAAAAACTGAGAATCAGAGAGGGGAAATGTGTTGCACAGTGGTAACAGTTTCAAATCCAATTGATCCAGACTCATTATCAAGGAAGACAAAGCAAGAAGGTGCTTAAAAGACCTACTCGAGCATATGGATGGCCAGAAAAGGAAGTAGGCTAATCAGGAACCAGGAGGGAAGGATGGCAGGTGGGCACTCCAAGGGCTGCACTGGCAGCCATCGAATAGCCCATGACCCAGAGAAAGAGTCTCCCATCTCTTGGCTGAATGCCCTAGGGAGTAGCTTTGGCAGGACACAGATAAGTGCTGTGTGAGCCAAAAAGGCAAGAAGGGGTCATGATCTGCCTCAGTAAAGTGAGAGGATCATGTGTCCACTTGTGAGAGTATCCCAGAGCTCAGAGAGGAAGCTGTAGGAGGCAAAAGGCTCAAGAGAAAGATCCCATTTTTTTTTTTTACTGAATTAGAATAAAACAATAACAAAATTAGTTTGGAAGAACAAGAAGTCAAGACTATCAAAGGAGCTAATAAAAATGTAAAGGAAGGAGGTTTAGCAATACTAGATCTTAAACTGTATTATAAAGCAATAAATATCAAAACTAGCACCGGTTGAGAAATAGAAAGGTAGATCAGTGGAACAGAGTAAACATACAATTCACATTGTATTTGATGAGCATAAAGACAGGTTTTGGGGATAAAAATTCATAATTTGGTAAAAATTATTGGGAAAACTGGAAAGCAGTATGGCAAAAATTGGGCATAGGCCAACTTCTTACTCCATTTAACAAGATAAGGTTAAAATAGATACATGAACTATATATACAGAGAGATATGAGAAAAATTTTTAGAACATGGAACATATCACCTATCAGATTTATGGACAGGTGAACAATTTATAAATAAACAAGAAGCAGAGAGCAGTGTGAGGTGCAAAATGGATAATTTAAATTGCATTAAATTAAATTTTTTTGTACAAATAAAACAATGTAGCTAAGATCAGAAGGAAAGCATAAAACTGGGGAAATTATTTATAGGCAGTTTCTCAGATAAAGGTCTCATATGTCAAATATATAAAGACCTTTGTCTAATCTATAAGAAAATGAATCATTCCCCAATTAATAAATGGTCAAAGGATATGAAGAGACAGTTTTTAGATAAAGAAATCTAAACAATTTATAGTCATATGAAAATTGCTCTAAATCAATATTGATTAGGGAAATGCAGGTTAAAACAACCTGGAGGTATCATTTTACACCCATCAGATTGGCTAAAATGATCAAAGGGGAAAGCGACAAATGTTGGAGGGGATGTGGAAAAATTAGGAAACTAATTCACTGTTGGTAGAATTGTGAATTGATCCAAATGTTTTGGAGAGCAATTTAGAATTATGCCCAAAGAGTTATTAAAATGCCTATACCCTTTAACCCAGAAATACCACTATTAGGTCTATTTCCAAAGATGATTATGGAAAAAGGAAAAGAATTTGTATGTTCTAAATGAATTACAGCAGCTCTCTTTGTGGTGGCAAACAACTGGAAATCAGGGGGATGCACATCAACTGGGGTATGGCTAAACAAGTTGTGGTGTGTGATTGTGATGGAATACTACTGTGCTATCTGAAATGATGAGCTTGGGGCAGCTAGATGGTGCAGTGGATAAAGCACCAGCTTTGAAGTCAGGAGGACCTGAGTTCAAATCCGGCCTCAGACCAAACACTTGATACTTACTAGCTGTGTGACCCTGGGCAAGTCACTTAACCCCAATTGCCTAAGCAAATAAATAAAAAAAAGAAATGATGAGCTCGATAATCTTAGGAAAAACACGGGTGGGGTTGGAGGAGATAACGAAGAACAAAATGAACAGAACCAAGAGCACCTTGCAGATATGAACAGCAATATTGTTTCAAGAGCGACTTTGAGTGACTAAGTCGTTTTGACTGCTGTAAACACCCGAGTTAACTCTAGAAGACATATGAAGGAAGAGGCTATCAGCATCAGAACTGATAAATCAGTTATCAGAACTGATAAATAGAAGTACATATAGAATGTTTTTTACATACACACACACATTTGTGTCTAATGGTGGCCACCTCTAGGGTTGGGGTGGGGGGAGGAAAGGAAGAAAAAAAAGGATAAAGATAAATTTAGATGATAACTTTATTATGTATTAGAAGAAATAGCAAGTTTTACACAATAGATGCTCAGTTTCATGTACATCCTCTGGTTTTTTTCCTATTCTATTATGTTTTGGAAATGCTTGTTTTATTTCTTAAGTTCAGAATAAAATGAGTAGAACTAAAAAAAAAATGTCTCACAATCCAGTGACCCCATCCTTCCCGCTTTGCACAGTTCTGAGACTAAAGTTGGGGAACAAACCTTGGAAAATACGTCTTCCTGTTATCTGGGAGGAAATTCTAGCACCGATGACCTCACAATTGAAAGGGATGACCTGCTCCAACCTCCAATGCCCTGTGCACAAACCGTCTTTGGAAATCTTGAATTAGGATTCTGCAATTTAGCAGATCCTGGCTGGCCCTTTATCTTTCAAGGAGGAAAATGCATGGGTGAGCAGTGGTTCCAGTCCAGGCTCTGATACCTGCTACCTGTGTGACCTTGGACAAGTCACTTTACCTCCATGGTGAAGTTTCCTTATCTGCAAAATGAGGGGGCTGCACTAGATTGCTTCTAAAGTGCCTTTCAGGTAAACCTAGCATCCTATAAGTGTAACCTCTCTGGACCTTAATTTCCTCCTCTCGTAAACTAAGGGTCTTGGGCCAGACACCTCCTGAGGTCCTTTCCACCTCCAAGTCTATGATCATATTAAATTTTATTTTTTAGGCAATTGGGGTTAAGTGACTTGCCCAGGGTCACGCAATTAGTAAGTGTCAAGTGTTTAGTCTGAGGCCGGATTTGAACTCAGGTCCTCCTGACTTCAGGGCCAGTGCTCTATCCACTGTGCCACCTAGCTGCCCCCTGATCATACTAATTTTAAAACAGATAATTTTCACCTCCAAGGCACCATCCAAGGCCCAACTAATGACTTTTTGTGGGATTTGGTTGAGTGATGTGACCCTGTCATCCACTGGTAGATGCTTCCTCTGGTTGGTGAGCCTGAGTTGGAGCAGAGACACTTCCCAAGGACCTGAACAGCTGTGGGAGAAGAGGAAGGAAGATAAAGAAAATCTCACAGTTGGACCAAGAGACCCAGAGCCAGGTCTGAGACTCCCCGTCCTAGCATTGAGCAGAGCAGAGACAGCAGCAAGATTTCCTGTGCTGACACGCAGCAGCCGCCATTGGTGGTATCTAGATGTGGGACCTGGGGCAGACACTGAGGATTCCCCAGGTGCATGAATATGCAGTGTGAGAGTTCTTGTTCAGTGTCTCTGTGGGTTTGACTCATAGTGCCATCCCAGCAGGCACAATAGTACAGCCCCGCATCTGCCTCTGTGACTTGGTGGATTCTGAGGCTTGCTGACAAGTCGCTCTCCCGTTTCTTGGCCTCATACCTCTCCTCACTGACCCCATCTTCATGAATGACATTGTCATTGGATGAAAGATAGAGAATCCGTTCCAGATGCCCACCGGGCTTCTGGCGGTACCAGTGAATGTAAGCGGACCCAAAAGAAGTCACATTCACTCGGCATACCAGAAAGGCGGTGTTACCACTTCTCTTAGTGTTGGATGGCATAAACTGGGTCAGTATGGGTTCCATGCTTGCACCTACAAGAGAAAAGAATCTCCTGGACCGCCAGATACCAAGAGCTCTGGTGTCCAAAAAGAATCAAAATATATAGCTGGTCACTTTGGGATGGAGTTGGACTTTGCTAGGTGGAGAGTTGAAGTTTGGGGAAGAAGATGAGGTAATGAAATGAGTCTTTAAAATGATTGTAGAATAAGCTGTCAGAAATACCTGCTGATGAATGGCCCAAAAATTCTTGTAAAGTAGTTATTAGGTACTTTAATCAATTATGCATAAAATAGTCACTGGGCTTGTGATAGCTGTATTCTTTATTTATTAAGTGTACTCCTTTGGCTTTTTTTTTTTAGGATTAAAGGAATTTTTATTTTTTTTAATTAAAATTTTTAATTTACGGAATAAAACAAACATTTGCATGGCATAGTACAGTCATTGTTTGAATGAATAAAGGATTTTGTTAGGCTAGTTTGACTTCTTGTATCTACTTAGAGAATGAAACAGAGACACCGACTTTCCAGCTAAGAGGGAGCTAAAAGGGCCGTGGGTGTTTCTGTCTCTGTCTTTAGACTCAACTCAAGACTGTAGACTTAAACAAGCCTAACCAAATGCATTTATCCATTCAGATGGAGGTTTGGCAATGTCTTTCAGGGAGCCTTTAGTACAGCCAGTGCTCTTATGGTAGAGATTGCGGCCCTGCGACGTTTGCCGGGGTCACCCGTTTGGGTAAGTGACCTCAGGTAGGACTCCAGCCCAGGGGCTCTGACTCCAAGGTCACTACATCATGCTGCATCTCTCAGAGGAAGAGATATGGTGTTGCCTTAAAAAGAAACCTCAGATTCAGTCTTTTATCCCACAGTTCAGGCTGGCTGTCTTTGCAAGGAAAGTGTCAGGTTTTTTTCCCTCACCCATTTCTTGGCCCCTCCATGAATGGATACCAAACAAATGACAAAAAGAAAGAACTCACCAATCCCAAGAAAAGCCAGGATCAGAAAGCAAACCAGTAGCACTTTGGTGGTCTCCATAATGGAGAGGGAGAAGGCCAGAAGTCATTCAACAGAAGGGAAGTGATGCCTGTGTTGGAGAGGAAGGAAATGACTCTAAGCAGAAAGTGGCTAACCAGAGACAAACTCTTTTTGGCCACAGATGCACAGCCACCCACAAGGGAAAAGGGGTCTTGCTTAATTCATTGGCAATATTCCATTGAATTCCATCCTTTCGCTGTTTACCAGCAGCACCCTTGTCCACAGGTGCCCTTCATTAGAAAAGGGTGTTCTTACAAAGAAAGTGAGCTTCTTGCAATGGTCCCTTGGTTTTCCCTGGAAATTGTAAACACAGGTATAACATCTGCCTTGGAATACCGCACATCTGGATCACAGCTCTGATGTATGTGGGATGCTTGTTTTCTTATCGCACATGGTAAGTGCCCTCATGCTCCCACTCCAAATTGCACCCCACTCACTTTACTGGAACATATCTCTTAAATGTTACCAATGATATCTCTGCTGTGAAATCCAGGGTTTTCTTCTCAGTCATCAATCTCATTGGTCTCTCTTCGGAATTTAACTCAGTTGACTCTCCTTAGATATGGGGTTAAATGGAGCAAAGATGGATCAACAAGGAGCATAAGAAGAACACTAAGCTCTTAAGAGCCTAAAGATTTCATGGGAATTTAAATAATGTGCAGAAAATCAGTAGGAAGGGCTGCCCTGACAATCAGAGAAATAAACCTCTTGACACCACATTAGTGAATTGCTCTATTTTGTGGGCAAGAATAACCATGTGGGAGATCACTTGGATGGGGAGAGGGGAGAAGAGAGACAGAGGAAAGCAGCTGATGGGCTCCCATCAAGTCCATAGGGGAACAGCGAAGGGTTAGTCATTCTTCCAGGCTCTGAACAACAATGAAAGCAATGGGAAAATAGGCTCAAAAATTGAGTAGAGGGCCTGGGCTGGTGCCTCAAGATGGAGTTCTCCTCTAAGAAGTGGCTCTTTGTCGGTACCACTAAATCACATTTCAGTGGGAGAAGAGGTTTATGTCTGTGCTAAGAGACAGAGACCTTCTAGTGGGTGAGGAAGCTAGGTGGCATAGGGGAGATTCTAGGCTGGACCTGGAATCAGAAAGACTTGTATTTCAATCTGACCTCAGATACGTCCTAGCTGTGTGATCTTGGGCAAGTCACTTAACCCTGTTTGCCTCAGTTTCTCTAATTGTAAAATGATAATAATAGTAGCATTCATCTCTTAACATTATTGTGAGGAACAAATGAGATCTATGTAAAGTGCTTAGCACAGTGCTGGGCACATAGTAGGTACTATGTAAATACAAGCTATTATTATTATTATTATTGTTATTGTTATTATTATTGTTACTACATCTTGGGGAGATTTGTACTTTAGGAGATTACCTAAGGTTGTGCCTTCCTGGACATCATCTGCCCCAAAAGAGGCACTGTATGGATTCTCTAAAGGCAGCCAGCTCCCCGAATGTTTTAGAACAGGGGGAGTCATACAACCAGAGATTGTCTGAGACTGTCTTAAAAGTAGCAAGGCAAAGTCGGGAAGCAGGAGCAGGACTCTGGACTTCAAGCAGCAAAAGAGGTCTACCACACACATCTGCTTCCATCTGATGCTGATATTTTTAATGGGGCAAAGCAGAGAATAGGGAGGACTAGCTAAGAGCTACAGAATCAGCACCATGGAGATGGATGGAAGGAACTGAAAGGGGATAGTTCAGAAGCTTTGTCTTCATGAGACGCAGAAAGAGTAAAGAAGGAACAAGTCAAAATAGTCAATAAGCATTAGTTGTTCAATTGTCTTCAGTCACATCTGACTTTTTGTGGCCCCATTTGGGGTTTTCTTGGTGGAGATACTGCATCGGTTTGGCATTTCTTTCTTCAGCTCATTTTACAGATGAGAAAACTGAGGCAAGCAGGGTGAAGTGACTTGCCCAGGGTCATACAACTAGTAAGTGTCTGAGGTCAGATGAGTCTCAGGAAGATGAGTCTTCCTGACTCCAGGTCTGGCAGTCTACCCACTGCAACACTTAGTTGCCCCAAACATTTATTGAATACCTACTATGTTTCAGGCATTCTGCTAAGCGCTGTGGATATAAAGAAATGCCCTTCCCCCAACAAAAACAAACAAACAAGCAAACAAACAAACAAACAAAAACAACCCAGTCCCTGCTCTCAAGGAGCTCCCAGTGTAACGGGGGAGACAACAGGCAAACAATGTTCAAAGTTTAGATAAGATCAGTTGGAGATGTCTAATAGGGTAAAGTCTTCTCATTATTAAGTGGAATCAGGAAAAAGCTTCCAGGAGAAAATGAGATTTCAGCTGAGAGTTGGAGGAAGCCAGGGAAGCCAGATGCAGAGATGAAGAAGAAGAGAGTCCTAAGCATGGGGTACAGCCAGTGACAGTGCCTTGATCACAGTGTGTGTGTGTGTGTGTGTGTGTGTGTGCTTGCACGTGTAGGTGTGTTTGTGTGTATGTGTGTCTCTCTGTGTGTAGGTATGTTTGTGTGTGTGCTTGTGTGTTTCTGTGTGAAGCACAGTGGAAGGTAGAAGATGGCTGGCATGGCAGGAAGGGGCCAGGTGATCAAGGCTTTGAACACCAAGCAAAGGATTTTCTATTTGATCCCGGAGGTGTCTGCCATGACAGGACAACTCCCCCCTCCTCCTCCTCTAGGAATTCCTAGCCTTCTTTAATGATCTAGGCCAGTTATATTGTACTACAGAAGGGCCTTCATGAATTCCCTCCCACTACCAGGCCCCCCCCCCATTTAAATTAGGTTGTATTTCCTTTTTATGAGAGGCAGCTTGGAATAAGGGATAGAGAGCTGTTCTCAAAATCAGGAGGGCCCAAATTCAAGTCACATCTTTGACACATGTGACCCTGGGAAATTAATCGAAACTCCCAGTAACCCAAGAAAGCCTCTAAGACTCTAAGTTGAGAGAGGACTCTGGCCTCTATTGATAGAAGGAATTTCCTTGTCTGGGAGTTCCTGGTCCAGTCCCCGTCTCATGTTTTGGACAAATTTTTGACTTTCTTATATATGTGTCCATGTTGCTTCCTCATAAAACACACAGTCATTGAGGGGAGAGAAGTTTTTATTTTTGCATCTCTAGGACCCACACAATGCCTAGAAGGCATATTTTATTATTACTATTATTTTGGAGCTATGTTTTCATTGAGGTAGGGAACTCCCAGTAAGGAAGCCCCTCAACCAATGTAGATGAACATTTTCTGGAACCTATCTTACTAGAGAGTTACCTGGCACATGGAAAGGGAGAAGATGCTTAAGAAATGCTTGTTGATAGATGGAAACTGAGTTTTTAATATTAGAGAAATGCTTTTGAAAACAACAAATAATAATTTTGGGAGCCTCATTTCCCACAGAGAATACTAATAGAACATTTTCTTAAGGAAGTTCCTTAATTCTTTATTGTTTCAATTGCATCTGTTGTACAAAATGGGGAGAATTTATAGAATTTTCATCATTTTATCTTTTTAGCTTTGGCTCCTGAAATCATTCATTTTGCTTGGCTTTCTTCCCATGAAGCACTCTCAGTATCCCACCCCCAGCCTCCATGACCACAGATCTCCCTCCCTGCCTGCCCCCACTTCCAGCCTTGGTCATCTATAGACACATGTTCTCTTTCACTGCTGGTCATACCATTTCCCCAAGGCTAAGGGCAGTTTCTTGAAGAGAACTGTGTCTTGGGCTCCTTTCATCTTTCCCACAGCACTGGGCACACTCCACCTGAATCAATACTCATTGATTAACAAAGATAACGAACCATCACAACCATAAGTGATGAGGAGAAATAGCATCTCAGTGTTGGAAGGCACTTCCCTGGTCACTTAGTCTGAATTCTACCCAAAAAAGGATTTGAATTGGTTCAGAGACCTAAGGAATTAAGAGAGGATATTAATGTCTTCCTTCTTCATGTTTCTTTTAGTTTCTCCTGAGGGATATTGGATCCAAGTGTTAGCTTTGGTGCATGAGCTTTGGACAGGGGGCAAGACATGGAGTCAGGAATATCTGTGTTCAAAATCATCCTTAGACAGGTGCTGCTGGGATGGAAAGAGAACCTGTTCCATAGGGTGGTGAAGAGGATGAGGCAACATAATATAAAGTAAGGCTCTCTGCCAAAAAGCAGAGAGACAGAAGTTGAGAATTGGAAGGGACCTCAGAAGCTGTCTGGTCCAACCCATAAAACCATCGGAAATCTTAGAGCCCTGCAGAGATGTGAATGGTTACGATGGTGATGGAGGGAGTTTGGAACCTGTATGAGTTAGAGCAGGAATGTAGTGTGGTATAGACATGGGCCACATGGTCCTGGTAAGAAATGCAGGAAGTGTTACCGACAGGCCAAATGGGATGGGAGCCAGAAACAAGGAGGTGGCCCCCAGGGGAAGAGGATGTGGGGAGGGCCGCAAGGAGGGCAGGATTCTTGTAGGTGTTGTCACTGAGTGCTGACTGCTGTGGTCTTCCCAGCATGCACAATAGTAGGTGGCCTCATCTTCACGTGTTATGCTGCTTATTGTTAGGATTGAGGTTCCTTTGCCTTCATTCTTTTCTGCCACAAATTTCTTCCTTACCTCATGTAAGGATTTTGTTGCGGCAGCACTGGTTGAGTGGACAAAGAGCAGATGTTGCAAAGGTTGGTTTGGCTTCTGCTGGTACCAGTGTATGTACTCGTCCTTAAAGTTCTGACTGCCAGACACTTGACAAGTCACACGTGCTGTTGTGCTCAGGTCTCTAGTGATGGAGACTTGAGGCTGCTTCAGTTCAAGAGCTTCGTGTCCAACTAGAAATAAAAGAAGAGAACACAGAGACGTGAGGAGGTCCTTTGGAGAATTTCTTCTGTTTCTTACCTTATGTGAAAAGAGGGAGAAGCTAACTCACAGGCACAGAGGGCAGCCACAGCAAGCACTTGGCAGAGGCTCATTCTGGCTGTGCGAGATGTTGGGCTGAGGAGAACCCGAGGAAGCAAGGAGACTGATGGATGCGGAGATCAGTTCAGAGTGGCCTGAGGTGGCCTGTTGGGTGTCAGCAGAGATCATGAGCTGCTCGATCCTGGTGTAATGTTCATTGTGCATCTGACCTTTCTAAGAGGTGCAGACCAGAGCTCTCTCCATGGGTGGGGGCCAGGCTTGGTGATGTCAATGCTGATTGACCTTCCTGCTTCCTTTACCCAAAGATGAAGCTATGGTGGTATTGCCTTGACCTACATCTGCCCCTCTCCACCCTGAAAACCCTGAGGATGTCTGCCACTGGCTCCTCAGACACTGTCCTAGAAATAAGAATATCTTTTATTTGTTTAAAGCTTTATTCTCATTGAGAGATAGCATGGAGAATGCACAGAGAGTGAGCCTTGGGGTCAGAAGAGCTGGAGCCAAGGCCGGGGGCTCTTTAACCCGAGGTGAGTCAGAACCTCTCAGTTTTCTTCTTCTTTTCTTCTGCAGGATTTTAAAAATGAAAATTTTTGTTTTTTTATTCTGAACTTAAGAAGAATAGAAAAAGTAGAATAGAAAAAATGAGCATTACACACAAAACTGCAAATCTATTATGGTCAACTTGCTTTTCCTTTTAAATGTATAATAAATAATCATTTGATTTTCTTTCTTTCCTTCTCTCCCTCCCCTCTTACAGATGGCTACCATTAGACATAAATTTATATGTATGGAAATCCATTCTATACTTACTTCTATTCATCAGTTTTTTCTCTGGATGCAGATAGTGCCTTCCTTCATAGGTCCTTTGTAGTGAATTTAGGTATTTATAGTAGTCAAAATGACTTATTCACTCAAGGTCATTCTTAAGAAAATATTGTGGTTTCTTTTCCAATGTTCTCTTGGTTCTGCTCATTCCTCTCTTCATTATTTCATGTACGTCTTTCCATGTTTTTCTAAGGTCAGCAAGCTCACCATTTCCTGTAGCCCAGCAATATTCCATCATGATCATATAGCACAACTTGTTCAGCCATTCCCCAATTGATAGGCATCCCTTCCATTTCCAGTTTTTGCCACCACAAACAGAGCCGCTATCAGTGTTTTATAACATGTAGTGTCTTTTCCTTTTTCCCTGATCATCTTGGAAAACAGACCTAGTAGTGGTATTGCTGGGTTAAAGGGTAGACACAGTTTTATAACTGTTTGGGTATAATTTATAATTTATAATTTATAACTTGGGGCATAATTTCCAGTTGCTTTCCAGACCTCTCAATCTTCTTGACAATTCTCCAAGCCTGTAGGTTGTAGAGAAGGAGGCAGGTTACATTGGTAGAGGGACATTCCTCAACTGTCCTAACAGGGGCCATCACCATCACCTTCCTCCTAATAACCATGTGGGTGAGTGGTGGAAGGATTCTATTCCCCATTGCCCAGAGGAGAGAACTGAGGTGTAGAGACCTGAAGTCACTTGCCCAGGATCCCACAGTAAGCAGGTAAAGTCAAGCAAGAAGCATTTATTAAACCCCTATTTTGTGCCAGGCACTAGAAGCATGGGAAATAGGACTTGGCTTTCAACCCAAGTCTCCCTGACTTCCAGTCCAGTGCCCTCCCTCCTGACTCCAGGCTACTCCCAAGAACAAGCCAGTCTCCCATTGGTGATGCGATGGCGATGATCTTTCATTTTGTTGTCCTTCACTCATACTGTTTCTATAGGACCTCCCAATCTGTCTTTACCTTTGGCAAAGAGAAATAAATGAGTTCTGGCATTGATCTGCTGTCCTGCTGTTACAATCCCTCCAGCAAAATGGGTGTTTGGAGAGTTAATTTTCCAATCACTTTGGAAAGTTTCATCCAGATAGAACCTGGGAGGATCATAGTTCCTGCTGCAGCTTGACTTTCCACACATCTGTTGCACACACACACACACACACACACACACACACACACACACACACTTCTGTGTGACCTTGGGCCTTTACTTGCTCTCCATGGGTCCCAGTTCCTCAATGATCAATCAGACAATTGAGTTATCTGACCTCTGACATCTCTTCCAGCTCTGTATCAATTATGTCAACTTATCTGTGTAATAGTAATATCCCTCAGTGGAATTTAAACTCCTCAAGGTCAGGGGTTGCCTTGGGGTGGGGGCATTTCTTTGTGTTCCTTGTGTCCACCAGAAGTATCTGGCTCATAGTGGAGGCTTAATATATGCTTGTTAAATGAACAAATAAATTTTTGTATTGAGTGATTCAAATGGGCAGTCATTGTCATATATAATTTGGGAAGAGGGCATGGGAAAATGACGAGAGATCCCCGCCATTGGCAGAATTCATTGCAGTGGGCTGACTGTTTTGGGGTACAAGAGGGTTGGCTCACATGCACAGACTTGTCTAATTTGCGGGGTGTTGCCAGGAAACACACTTCCTTCCTTTCCTTTGGCCTCAGGCAGGAATAATACAGCCTAGAAAAGGAATCCCCTTGTGGGCCTTTGATGGATTCTCAGGTTTTTTTTTGTTTTTGTTTTTTGTTAGGCAATAGGATTAAGTGACTTGCCCAGGGTCTCACAGCTAGTAAGTGTTATGTGGCTGAGGCTGGATTTGAACTCAGGTCCTCCTGACTCCAGGGCTGGTGCTCTATCCACTGCACCACCTAGCTGCCCCTGGTCTCTCAGTCTGGATGGACTCTCAACATCACGTCCCTTTGAGAGAGTCTACGGCTATTCTTGGTTATAGAAAAGCACTGGGTCCTGAAAGATCCAAGAGGTGTGTAGGGGCAGTCCTCCAGAGAGGCATACAGTCTTGTACAGCAGGCCAGGCCCCCAGGAGGCATCTAGTCCATCCCATTCCTGATCACAGATCCCTTCTGGGCCATGCTCAACGGGTAGTTGGCCAGTCTTTTCCTGTGAGTGCCCCCTGGCCCCTGAGCCTGCCCCTTCCACTCTTGGCCTGCTCTGATGATCCTGAAGCTTTGACAGACATCAAGCTGGAATGTGCCTCTTTGCAACTGAGTAGTGATGAGCCCGTGGCTTTAAAAAAAATTCAGTCCTAAGAAGGAATCACATTTTTAGAATAAGAGGAGATGACAAGTGTGTTGTTTTTCAGGGGAATTCCTGCAGATAATAAAGCAATTAGAGAAAACCTCACAGAGACCATTGGACTACTTTTTCTCTCTTTTTCTTTCTTTGAATCAACTCACTGCCACTGGGCTATTGATTTACACATTTCACTTTCCTTGCATTTCATAAATTTTTTTTAAGGCAATTGGGTTTAAGTGACTTGCCCAGGGTCACACAGCTAGTACGTGTCAAGTGTTTGGTCTGAGGCCAGATCTGAACTCAGGTCCTCCTGACTTCAGGGCCAGTGCTCTATCCATTGCGCCACCTAGCTGACCCCACATTTCATAAATTTTTATCAACAAAATGGGTCATTTGCCTTGTATCCTGTTCCTTCAATCCACACTGATCTCAGTCTTTTCTGCCCACTTACATTGTGTGTTACCTAATTTATCCTTGAGTTGTAGACCATGTTCTGCTTTTCTACAATTTCATGCTTACCACTTTTGGCTGCTCAACTAGACTGAGCTCCTTGAGGGCAGAGACTCTCTCAAAATTTGTTGTTGATTGAAAAGTGTATATTCCAAACGTCTGATTGAATTGATTCATCTATTGTTTTTACATGTTTCCTCTGTTGGCCTCATTGTGCTGGATTATTTCTTTGGGTCCTCTGAACCACGTTTAGGGGCAATCTTTATCCCTAGGGAAGAATACAGGCATTGCTGTCATACTTTGTATTTAGGTAAAAGTTGGACTCAATTCTCATTCGTAAGTTTCTTGCCTGGATCCTTATCAATCC